CTCTCCCTTCTCCTCCAGCCCCATGCTTCCTTGGGTGGGGCAGGGAAACTGAAAGCTCTCCTTTCCCTGGGTATTATCCTATTCCACTCTCATATTCTGAAGATCCCTGAAACTACTAGCAAAGAACACTGAAGACCACCAGAAGCAGCCAAGTGTACCCATGAAGTTTATTCTGGGACAGGCAGAGTGGTTGTGGGGAGGGTCTCCTAAGAAAGGGAAGGTCTAGGTGTACCTTCTCCTTTCTGTGGATTTCTTCCATCTTGCCATAACTGGACAATCCCAGCACATGGACAAACCTTCTCTTTCAGATTAACCCATCTGAACATAGGAAGTTCTCCTCTTTTTCCTGCCAGGCTTAGCCAGCACCTCTTCAATCTGTCAAACATGTGGCACCCAATCCAGCCTGCATGCTTTTTCCCTATTATGTCTTCCACCAAAATCTTCCTTTGTTATCTATGGGTAAATCCTACTCGTCCTCTTAGGACTTACTTCCTCAGCAGACTCTTCAGGAGCTGTGTCTGAGGAAGCAGCTGGGTTTGGAAGACACTGGAGAGTCACCTTGACACAGAGCACCCTTAAAGGGTTCTGACATGTATCTGATGTTACTCCCTGTCTCAGTCCTGCCCCTCACAGCTATGCATAGGCCTGCCTGCCTCCCAAAGGGACCAGCACCCACATTATTTTTGCAGTAATTGTCATGGGAAGAGAGGAAGAGATGAAAAATAATCCACCTAATCCACCCCTTCACCAATACCTCAGTGTACACTTGGGTGTTTGTAGGTAATAGTGGAATAACAGGACTGTGTTCATAGTGAGTACCAGAGTTACCTGAGAGGGTTAAACTCCCTTTAACCTCAGGATAGCTGACTTCATTCCCTTCCATCTTTTGCCTCCCACTCCCTTTTGAGTATTTCCTGGGATCAACCTTCCAGATAAACTGCTTTTACTTGAATCCTTGGCCCTAGAGTTGCTTGTAGGGAAACTAACTAGAAAATAGTAGCTATTGCTCGCAGTTTAATCACCAGATTTTCTTTCTAAGATGTCATCACCTACTAAAAGGAAGCCCCATAGACAAAGCGGAGTTGTTGACTGGGATTGTTCTTGATTTCCTGAAGGGGATTTAAGACCTACTGCTTTGGATCTGGACTACTGCTGGCTGGAAGACATTGCCTTTCCGGTAGTTGTTCCTAGCATTGTCTTATTTCTTATGGCATTGTCCTAAACTTGACACGATGCTTGGATCACAGCAGATGACCAATACATCAGACTATGGTTTAGTAAAGGTATGTGCTGAGCATTGAGAAGAATTCATGCCAGTATCTCCGGTGTTTGAATACGTCATTCTTTGGCATGTTCCATGATCTAATACTGGTATAAAAGTGAAGCTGCTGTAGAAGAGCAACTGTCCAAATGAAGTAGTTCAATACATAAACCTACACACCTGATAAAATTATTAAGAACTAAACACATAAACAATAATGCACACACACATGAGTACAGGTGAGCCTGGGAAATGTGAATGTGCTCTGTGGGTCATGTAAGTGACATCTGTAAGCTTTACTGTCTCAGGGCTTGCCTTGTAGCCCTCTAGAAGAGCTCCAAGTGTTTGAGCCCTAAACAGAAAGCCCTTGGCCAGGACACTTGAGATAATCAGCACTATTTAAACACTTAATTTGATCACTACTGAGAGAGCCATGGGTAATAATATTGAGATATTTTGAAGTTTTTAAAAGGAAAAAGAAAAACCATTGACCCAAATAGATTGCCTGATAATTCTGATCAAGAGCTTATAAAAGAATGTTGAAATGCTTAATTGCTAAATAAATGAAATATAAATATTCATTATGTTACTGGGAGAGATCCTTAATATGGAATGGGGGAAAACATTTTGTCAAGTGCACTGTAAGTGATAAGTGCTTGTTTCCTTTTCTAAAACAAATCAATTCTTGAAGCCATTAACCACCATTTAAATGTAGCTCTATTTTTTTTCTATTTGTGTCTGCCTTTTAATTTGTTTTCATCAGTAGGAGAAAATGGGTTTATGCAAGAGCGGGAGCAGTAGAGTGGAATAAACCTGGAATAGCATGAAGTGTGAGGGATTTGGAGTCAGAAGCCTTAGCTTTTAATCCCAGTTCTGTTCCTTTACTAGCACTGTGACCTTGGGCAAATCACCTCCAGGTGTAGTGCGAAGCTAGTACAAAGAACCTCTTACCCACCTCAGAGAGCTGTGATTAACACCTTTTAGGGCAGTGTCTCTCAGCCTTTACTGTGCATAGGGGGCATCCCTGGGGATTTTGCTAAAAAGCATCTTTTTGTGAGGTTTGGAGCAGGGCCCAAGACCTCATTTCAATAATCTCCGGTGATAGAGCTGTTGCCAGTCCTTATTTTGGGGCAGCAGTAGTTCTAGAGTGTCAGCCAATCTCAATACATTCTCCTTTCTCCACAATGCCCAATCATAGTCATGAACCATTACAGTTGTTCTTGTGCTCCCTTGCCATAACTGACTCTAGAAGAGGCAATTTTTGTACTCAAGTTGGATCAAAAGTTCAAAATTCTTTTGAATTCATCAGTTCAAAAATTTTAAGAAAAGTATCTCTTTATTAGACACTGTAGTAGGCAGTAGAGATACACATCAGTAAAGTAGGTATCTACCCTCAATGAATTTTCATCTTATTAACCACAAGATCATTTCAGATGAGTTAAGTGCAGTGAAGGGGTTGGAGACATTGATGGGACTGTAGGAAAACTTGTTCAAATGGGATTTGAGGGAAAGTCAAGTCTCTGCTTTCTTTTCTGCAGAAAGGTTGGAAGTCATGTTGAAGACAGTGGCATAGCATGAAAGAAGGCTGGGTCCCTGAATGATTATGTGGAGCAGAGCATGCCTTTCCTTGCTGTTTGCAGGGAGAGTGAGAAATAAATGCTTACTACACTAACATAATAAGCACTAACACACTGAAAGTTCAGAGTTTGTCTATTATAGAAGCTGGTGCTACTCAACCAGTGATACATAAATTGTTCAACTCTTCCAGAGGTTCTAAAAGTTAGGACATTTTTATTTAAATTAGCTAGAGCTACTTTCCATAATTTGAAACCCAAAGCACTTTAATGCATACAATTTCTGTGAAAATCTGATGAACTAATAGGTTCATAAATGCTTTGTAAAAGTGGAAAGTACTGTACTTCTGTGAGAAACTATAACTATAAATTGATTCCTTAGAAATAAACCCACTGTCTGAAATATTATTGGGGAAGAAAGCTAAACAAGCATTGATATTCACTCACATGAGGATATCTTTCTCTGACCATTTGTATCTTAGATTTGTTCTTCAGATCTTTACAAAATCAATTCAATAAATTGCAGGAGAACCTAAGGAAGTACTTATAATGTTTATATTTTCCTTTAAAACATTAAGTGCTTTGGTTTTAAGAGTCCTTGGTGGCACAAGAATATTAACATTTTAATGTGCCACACTTCCTCTCATGTGCTACTAATGTGCAGTAAATCTGTGCATCCCTCAGGGGTTCTGAAATCTTCCAAAGGAAATCTGTCTTCAGCATGCATCCACTGCGAGCTCTTTCCTTCTTGGATACTGGTCTCAAGAGCATATAAATGGCTCCCAGCGCCCTCACTAGCCTTTATCTTCTCCTCTTCTAGTCTTTGTGCATCTTAGGCAGTCAGAGCAAAGCTATCCCTAAGACTACATGCTACAAGCATGTGTCCATCTCCTGAGCCTTAAGGTAGAATCACAGTTGAGGGCAAGATCAAAGAGGACCATACTCTTGAGGGACTTAAGTTTATTTATTTGATCTTCATTATTTTTCATATGTGTTAACATTATTTGTGTTATCAGTGAAAACTTAATGAAAGTAGGTAGAATGAGTGGTACTTTGTGGTCCCTAAATCTGCATACTCTGCATGGGCTGCTTAAAAACAAAACAGACTCTTAATGTCTAAGACTTTCAATAGAAAATAACTTGATTGGAATTATTTTATGTTATTAGTGTAACAGAAAGAAGAGAAAAAAGAATATAGTTTCCAAATAAGGGCCAAGATTTACCCATCTCCTCTTGGGTAAATGCCAGCCCAAAGCAGGGTCATAGAGACCTGAAAGACAAGTCAAAGGCACCTTCTGGTGGGGATACAAAGGAAATGGGCAGAACGGACTAGGCAAGTCTGGAAGAAAAAAAGCAAAAGCAAAATACAAGCCCAAATGAGTGTCTCTCACCCTCACTTATCTCAAGTGTCTTCTTCCATGTCCCCCAAGTCCCTGGTACAAGTCCAAGGCAAAAAAGCAAGTGGGACTGCTTCTTCACATCTCTCCGCTCCGTGTGCCTCTTCCAATCTTCCCCAGTTTTCCTCTTTCCTCTTCCTTTTCTCTCAAATCATTTTTAGCTACTCCTCCTTCCTCCCGGCTCCACCCTCCCTTAAGTGGTGCAGGGAACCTGAAGCCTCCCCTTTCTATAGGGAAGATGCTGTTACATTAGCAGTAAATGGTGTTCTTCAGGTGAGCCTCTTTAAGCCTAAATGTGGCAAGACAGCATATGAAGTCATAACTTCCATCCTTTGCACCACCAAACTGTAATCCTCTCCAGCCAGTGTCAATTTGTGTGTGTACACATCTGTGCACTAAGCTCCCATAGAATCTAACTCCTGATGGGGACACCCAAAGTGGGTGTCCTGGGGAGACATTTGAATGAGGCTGTCAACCTTCCTTTCTCAACAGCTCTTAAGTCTTGGTTCCTTCAGCAACAGAGCTAGATGTTGGCATAATTGCTAGCTCAATGACCAGAAGTCGAGCTGAGAAAACAGGGAAAGGGTCCCCGCCAAGCGAGAACACTAAGAAGGGGCAGATTGACATTCCTAGAGAGAGCCTGGCAGCCCCAACACAGATGGGAGCTAAGAGAAACCTGTATATCATAGAGATGTCAGGCCTCCGGACTGCCTAGAAGCACCCGGAAGTGGCTCCAGGACGCCGGTTAGTCTTCTCGGGAGGTGTGGGCTGGCACGGGTTTGGTAGGGCAGGGCACCCCCGCCGCTCGCAGTCCTGGGTACGCTTTGTCGCCTGCCGCTGCTGTGAGTGGACCAGGGTCGGGAGGGTGCTCCGCTGCGGGGACCCCCGGGCCGGGCTGGTGGCTGAACCGAGCGAGGTTCGAACCCGCTGAGGGGGACCCCATCTGTACCTGCCCGGGGTGGGACGTGCGCTCTGCTCGGTGGTTCCCTGCGCGGCGGGAAATTCTCGCCTTGTCTGATCTCCTTCGCTTCCCTTTGAACCGAGTTATCTAGGTAGTCCGAAGGCTCCAGCCACTGGCGAGCTTCTTTGATTTTCTTTTCTAATTAAAACAGCAGCCCCCATAGTTTGGAACTCGATAGGGGCACCCGGAGATCTAGTTAGACTTGAGCCATATCTTCTGCTTTCATCGCATTCTTTTGGGAAAGCGTCCTTTATAACAAATGATTCCTGTTTCCCCTTTAAAGTGGCAGTGTAGGGTTCTCTTTTAAAACGAATATATATCCTGTAGCAAGATAAGTAGATTGAAGTTAAACAGTGTACCAGAGGAGTCAGGGGTGAGGGTTGAGTGAACAACACTACATTGTCTCCACCCCAGTAGCAAAGTCCTGCCTTCTGAGCTGGGAGGGAGCGCTCCCTTCCTGTCCCCCTTCCCCTCGATTTGGGAGGGACTATTAGGAGGTTGCAGGGTGTGTGAGGTGTGAAAATACCCTGCTAGGCTCAGGTCAGCATAGTCTCAGCCGCTTCAGGTCAGAGCCTGCGCCGCCAGGGCTGTTGCGGTTCAGTCCGGGGAGTTCTGGAATCAGACCCAGTACTTTACCCTGTAGGGCACAGGTTTTCGTGGGCGCAGATCCTTGCGGTACCATTCACCAGCTGTAGTTACTTGGGGTTAGTCTCTTTGTGTCTTGAAACCTGTTTTTACATCAGAAAAATGGGGGGAAAGTAGTTTTCATAGGTTTGGGGGGAGCATCAAGGGTCTAAGCAGAAAACCTGGCTAACAGTAATTGCTTAGTAAGTTGGGGGATGCCATTACTTCTGTAAGTAAGTGGCAAACATTGTTACCCAAGCAGGAGGAAGTCCAGATGTGACACTCCTTGCAGATGCAGCAGAATGGGGCTTTTGAAAAGAGTGTAAAGTATTCACATATTTGATGGGTTTAGGATCCTCCAAGGTTGCCGCAGAAATGTCCGGTGCACTCTAGGCTACCATCCTCATAAGGATGGTGAAAAATTGCTGGGTTCTTTTGTGTGACAAATACCTGGGTCAAGTGAGTTTGAGTGGGTAGCTGGACAAGGAGATTTGATACATCTAAACTAATGAACTTGAGTTATACAGCTGCCTTGCCACTTTGGTTATATTCAAAACAGTGCGCTCAGATATCACTATCTGTTATATATTGACTTACTACTTAATGTTGTCCTTCGACATGTTTGGCATTTTGGTTTCCATAGGGTTAAGCTGCATGGAGATTTTTTAAATCTTCCTTAAAGTAAGTTGGCTTACTTATTTTGTTTTAGGAATGCAGTCTTCAGTTCTCTCTGTTCCATACTCCAGTGGCACCTAGATTTGTATATTGCACTATAATGCCAGAGGGTTGGTAGCATTGCCCTCTTGAGCTCAGGGGATGAAGGAACTATGTGCTTAATCTAAGGTGCTTATTACTGATCCTTAGCATTTAATTAGTCCTTTGTAAATTTAAAGTACATTTTTATGAGTTTCTTCTCTAACTTCTCCTAAGAGATATCAGCTTTATTACCCTCATTTTATCTTAGTGTTATCAAGAGGTCAGACAGATTTTAAATTTCATTCTTTCCTGTTTGTAATTAAGATTCTTTTTTTCTTTAAAGATGTTCAACATCACAGATCATTAACAAAATATAAATTAAAACTACAATGAAATACAACTAAATACCCTTTAGGAAAACAAAACAAAATGGAACAAAACATAGTTTCTGGATTATGATTGGATTTTGGATTATGATTGGATTTGAGGCTTCATTTTGCCTCTGCAGCAAAAACAAATAATAATGACTTCAAATGACCATAGTTAAGAGGACCAGGGTAGGGAAAATGACAAAATAGTCTATAAGAAAATATGCATATTGGGCCCTCCCTGGTGGTGCAGCAGGTTAAAAGCACAGCACTGAGGAGCTTAAGTCACTTCCACATGAGTTCGATTCCAGCCTGTTGAGGAGGAGATCTACATGGGGAGGCACCCCTCTCCTGACCCGCCCACTGCTCCCTTCAGCAGTGTACCTCCTTGATCTATCTGTTCTGCTCCCTGCTCTGTCTCTGGTGAATCCTCTCACCCTCCGCATCTCTGGCCTGTACCCCCGTTCTATATGAATAAATAAATCTTAAAAAAAGAAAAATATGCATATTTCTGTAACATACAGCATTTTGAGGTAATAACTGGGATTATTAATGACCACGCACTCAGTGAAGATACTACAAAATTACTATGGATTTTACACACTCTGACAATACTAGTAATGTATATTTATTTAAAGTTTCTTTGGTATTAAACATTACTTTCTATTTACAAATACCTTATATGTAATGCAGCACATTACAAAAGTGTAATTTTTTAATAAGATTTTTTTTCTTGATTAAGTATTTTAACCTTTATCCCTGACATGACTGCACAGGTCAGCTGTATCCCTTCCCCCTACCCAGCAAAAAGCAATTACTGAACAAAGCCACATTTTGGAAGAGCCTCAAAGTAATTGTGATTATAAATGCAGGTCTGAATGTGCAGCCCTAAAAGGAATCAGATGGAAACTAATTAATAAAGCAGAAGTCATAAAGTCTACAAAAACCAGGCAGCGCATTGAAGTAAAACTGTGCATATTCTTTTCCTCCCTTCTGGCTTCATGTTCATGGGAAATTGTGTCTTTCCATAAAATATTTCCTGCAAGTTTTCTGTGCTTAGTTGATGGAGAAAGCCAAGGAGGAGGTGACTGGGTGGTACTGCCAGTGGCTGCTAATCTCCAAAGGTTTAGCTGACCTGGTGCACAGGCTTCTTTTCATTGCAATTCGTCTTGCTAAATTGTTTATTTTTCCTTTCTCCCTGCTGCCTTTCTCATCTGACCCTCCTGATCAGATCAGTTATCAAATTCTTGCCTCATGTCATTGTGGAATTAGTGGGAAGGTAATGAGGATTAGCATGAATAGGCCTGGCAGGCATTCAGAAGCATTAATAATTTGAACTCGTGCGTTCCCAGCATGATTAATGTGCACACAAGCCATGACGGACCCGTAGTCTTGTGACTGACTGGACTGTGCCGTCTTAAAAACAAAGAATAATTAGAGGTCCGTAAGAATTTCTGGTGGAATTTTTTAATTGGACTCTTTGAAACCTCGTCTGTTTGCTGATTCCCAGTAGTGTGGGAAAAATCTTAGACTTTGTTATTTGCCATCCTGTTAAGCCAAGGCCCTATTAATCAGGCAGAACATTTCTGAAATCCTTGTGTCCTGTCTAAGTTAATGACATACCCCTTTCTGGGCTTCATTGGGGCACAGCCTGCCTGGTGCTCCTTCATTTACCTGCCTGCTCTCACCCTGATTCCAACCAAGCACACCAACAGTTCGTCCTCACTGAAAACCTCTAGCCCAGATCTTCATCAACCCTCACCTAGACTCCTGGCTGTCTCCAGGTGCTCCCTTTTTCCAGGGAAACGTAAATCTTTTGCAATACCAAAGTGAACATGGAGCTCACTTTATAGTAAAAATAGACAAAGACTGTCTATTGTCTACAGAAGAGTTCAGGATCCCCCAGAGGGGTTTCAAAAGTGTGTCCAGGCTAACTTTCCACCCTAAATCACCAGCTACACACTCACTTCAGTTTGTACACCAGCCACAGCAGACATCCCATGTTCGCTGTACAACACAAGGCTCCGCTGTAGCTCTCTTCATTTTGATGCCCTCAGCCTGCCTAAGACCTCTCGCCTATCCATTTCAGCTGTGACACCCTAATCTACCGTTTGGAATCCATTTACCCTTCCTGCCCCCTGCCCCAACACACTGGCCTTCAGTGCTTCCACACCACCTCATTTACACCAGCATTATCACACCCTTCTTGTTTTCTCGGTTTTGCCTGGGACTTGAGATATTTCCGAAGCCATGCCCTTCTATCATAAAGCCCTAGAATGCAAAAACACTTTGTCTTTTAACCTAGTGTCAGTTTCATCCCAGAACATTTTAGGATATAAATTAAAATGGTGACAGTAGTTAGCGTGCATAAAAGTGACCCTTGTACACAGCAGAGCTCTATAGAATTTACACTGTCATCATCAGAATTTACTAAATTGGGTGTATTTCAATCTTCCAAATCCCTGCATTTCAGGAACACATCCTTAGTAAAGACTGAAGGTCTCAGGTTTCCTGGCACTTAAGTTGTATTCAAAGGAGCTCAGTTGTGTAAAAGTACACATTGTTTTTTTATGGTGAAATGTGCCTTGAAGAAATCAAGGCAAAGTTAGGGTGACACCATTGTTATTTTACTTATTATTTTTTAAAGATTTATTCATTTATGCATACAGAACTGAAGTACTGGCCAGAGGTGCAGGGGTGGTGAGAGGACTCACCAGAGACAGTGGGGAGCAGAACAGGAAGATCAACAAAGTACACTGCTGAGGGGATCAGTGGGTGGGACAGGAGAGGTCTGCTAGAGGTCTGCTTCACCATGTGGATCCTCCAGGGCCTAGGATCAAACTTGCACTGAAGCAGCTGCAGCAAGCTTTCAGTGCTATGTCCCATTGTGCCACCAGGAGGGCCCACTTATTATTTTTGATCAAGGTAACATTAGTTTATAAACCTGTGGGTTTCAGGTACAGAATTTCACACATCAACGTTATCACATCTTGTCCACCATGGAACGCCCCCCACTCCCCACCACCTCCACCTCAGTCCCTTTACCCAGGCCCTTCTCCCTCTGGGAACCACCATTCTGTTGTCAGAGTATAAGGGTTTGCTTTCATATTTTTTTCTTTTGTCTTCTTTCCCCTATTTTATGTACTACAAATAAGTGAAACCATACAGTATTTGTCTTTATCCTTCTGACTTACTTCACTTGGCATAATCCCTTCGAAGTCCACCTATGTGAAAGGGTACTTAAGCTTGGCGCAGGTAAAGGATGGAAGGCCAGGCCAAGTTTCTAACAAGCAGAAACCTTATTACGCTTCCAGGTGAGGTTCACAGACCCCAAAGACAGGATGGAGGTCAGTGAAGTCATACCTGCTGGGGAGTACAGCTATGTTTTTATAGGGCAGGGAAGCTGCTTTGCTTTGCTTTTCTCCAAGACAATCAGTAATGCTTATCTGTGTGCCAGCCTGCAGAGTTGATTCCTGGAATGCAGGCAGTTCCCAGACTTTAGGAGGCTCAAGGTTAGGAGGCTCCAGGCATGCAGACAGTAACAGTCCCAGATTCAATGTTCCCACTCCCAGCCTTGCCCAAGGCTGCCTCAACCTTACACTATTTTGTTGCAAATGGTGAGATTTCACCTCTTTTTATGACTGTTTAGTATTCCATCATGTTCCAATACCACATTTTCCTTATCTACTCATCTAACATCAGGCCCCTGGATTGTTTCTCTATGCCTACTATGAATAGTCCTGCAGTGAACATAAGGAAACATACATCTATACATCTAGTCAAATTCATGTTTTCGGTCTGTTCAGCTGGATTCCCAAAAGTGGAGTTACTGGATCAGATCATATGATAGTTCTATTTTTTTTTTTGAGGAGCCTCCATACTGTTTTTCATAGGGGCTTCACCAACATACATGCCCACCAACAGTACACCCAGTTTCCTTTTTCTTCATGTCCTCACCAGACACTAGTTCACAATCATGCTTTTAATTAGGTGACAGAGAGGCCCAAGATGAGTAAATGGCCCTTGAACAGAACAAAATATGGAGAAAGAATGTCCACGGAATGGACATTAAGTGGTAGACAGCCAAGTAAGGAACTAATGCATTGATGAGATAGGAAGTTCACATAGGCTTCAAGACAAAAATATGTTTGGCATCTTTAAGGAAAGGAAGTGTAGGTTGAGGTTAGGTAGAGTAGAATGATGGAAGAGTGTAGCTGAAGTCACAGAGGGAGATTGCTACATGGAGGTGATGGTAAGAAGACTGGATTGAAATGTCAGTGGCTGACCCCACAGGGTTTGCAAACGTCTGTAGCAAAGCCACCAGATTATATTAAATAACAGATTGCATGACTGCAAATCCAATAGGAGCAAAAATAAGAGAATCACTAGGTAAAGTACACAATCGGGTTGCCAATGTACTCATTCTTCCTGGATTTTCTTGTACACATAGTGGCAGCAATTGCTTAGTTAAACCTGTGACATTCATTAACCTACCTCCACACTTTTTTGCTCAATCACCAAGTATTTCTTCTCTTCCACATATTCTTAAGCCATGGAGACAGTTACTTGCTAAGTCTTGTCTTCAAGGAAGCAATCAGATTCATTTTCCTGGAAATCTGATCTACTTGTATGCTTACACCACAGAATTTGTCAAACTTTTTCTTAACTGCACTTTTGGGGAGACCTAATCATGAAATGTGAGAATGTAGTGGAATAACAGTCCCTGAACCCTAGAGCTTAAAGAGAAAATTGGGGGAGCCATATCGTAGTATGGGGGAGCCCATACTATGTCATGCATTTAATTGGACTGTTGAACTACACCATCCAGGTCAGTCTGCATGAGCCCAAGTCTATTAACTGTTTTTTAGATGCAACAACAGGCTTAGAGGGACTGACTTGTGCAAGTGATAGAGCTCTTGGTTGTTTACAACCACACTTCTGAGCATCTCCATTGACATGAGTGTGTGTTCTGCATTCCCAGGGCATCTGAGGGCCTGTGTGCATCCTGTTCCATTTCTTTCATGGAACGAGTTATGTGCCCCACTTTTTGTTGCTTGCTTTGTTTTTCAGAGATGGGGTCTTGGAGTTTTGAGAAAATAATTATTACTACTACTATTATTATTATGATTAATTTGACATAAAAGAGTAGGGAAAAGCAAGGCCCCCCCTCCCCCAACCACCCTGAGCCCAGGCATACAGTCCTTATAAGATTTCAGGCAAGCATACAGTTTACTACATAAAGGATTTTTTTGGGTCATATATATATATATAACATACAGTGTTTATACACACACACACACACACACACACACACACACACATATATAGCATATAGTGTTAATAAAACACCAGTACTAAACTAAACAGTAGTACAGTTGCTACTTTTAAATAAATAAAAGCTGCAGGAAATTTGCTTTAGGGTTATTGCTTTTTTTTTTGGTAGGCCTCTCCTACCAGATTTGAATATATTCTTATTCCAATGGATTAATTTTTTCCCAAGCATTAAGAACAATGCCTTATGTTCAGAGAGTACTTTCTGGTCTTCACAGCATTCCCAAGTAAATATCTTCACTTTCACATTGGCCTTGACCTTGCTGGGCAGGCAAAGCATATGTTACTGTATTATACGGGAAGAAATTTGAAACCGAAGATGTAAAGGGGGTAGGGGGTGAAGCAGTTGGCTACAATCACAGGGCCACCAGTCAGCTAAACTCAGGTCTCAGCTTTCCTTTGAGAGCACATTGCCTTTTCCCTTGGTTAACCTGAAATTGGGGACCCTTACATTTGCATTTGGATCAATAACTGAGTTGCAAATTTCTTTGTTTTAGGTCCAGTTTCCTTTGGATTCCCATAATGGATTCCCCCAAATCTCCAAAAGAAAATGTCCTCATCACAGGAGGAGCTGGCTATTTTGGTTTCCGGTCAGTAAAATGGCAATTATTTCATGGAATTATTTTACTGGTAGTTCCTGGAAGAAGTACAGCTTCCAACTATGACTTTTTAAAACAGATTAGACTTGTATCTGTTTAGGGGGTTAAGCCAGGAATGAACTATGCTTCTTACTGCTTAGCTATTGAGGTTGAGAATGACAGATATCTCCCACCTTAAAAAAAATTCTTTTTAAATTGGGGAGGAAAGTTAATCATATCACAAGAAAGAAAAAAGAAAAGAAATTAAAATAACAGTTGTTATTTTACAGTTATGTTCCAAAGAATGGATGGTGGGTCCTGCGACAGAGGGAAAAAAGTTAACGTATAGATGCTGCCATCTTTGAAAATAAATCCTCTCTCTCAGCAAATTAAGTAGACAATGATGATTCCCATTTTTGAATATTTGTGTGAGTCACACTTGTACTACTGAACACACAGAAAGCAAGGGTTTTGGGATAGGTACTAGGAAGACCTGGCAAGTCATTTTGTACACTTTTCCTAGCCACAGCTTCCTAGCGATTTGATCTAAGTTTTCCGCTTCCTTATTTTCAGCCTAGGTTGTGCTCTAAACCAAAAAGGGGCCCATGTGATTCTGTTTGACATCAAGAGCCCAGCTCAGGCCATTCCAGAAGGAATCGAGTTTATACACGGAGACATCTGCCATCTCTCTGACGTAGAGAAGGCCTTCCAGGATGTGGCTGTGACTTGCGTGTTCCACATCGCTTCTTATGGCATGTCGGGCCAGGAGCAACTGAATCGAAACCAGATCGAAGAAGTCAACTTGGGGGGCACAGAAAACATCCTCTGGGTTTGCAGGAAGAGAGGGGTGCCAAGATTAGTTTACACCAGCACTTTCAATGTTGTCTTTGGAGGTCAAGTTATCAGAAATGGAGACGAATCTCTGCCTTATCTACCCCTGCACCTCCACCCAGATCACTACTCCCGGACCAAGTCCATTGCAGAAAAGAAGGTGCTGGGGGCCAGTGGCACAGCCCTGGAGAGGAGCCACGGTGTCTTGAGAACCTGTGCACTAAGGTCAGCTGGCATCTATGGGCCTGGAGAGCAAAGGCATCTCCCCAGGATTGTGAACTACATTGAGAGGGGTTTGTTCAAGTTCGTGTATGGGGACCCCAAGAGCCTGGTTGAATTTGTCCATGTGGATAACTTGGTGCAGGCTCACATTCTGGCTTCAGAGGCCCTGAAAGCTGACAAGGGCCACATTGCCTCTGGGCAGCCCTACTTCATCTCAGATGGCAGACCGGTGAACAACTTTGAGTTTTTCCGGCCTCTGGTTGAGGGCCTGGGCTACAAGTTCCCCTCCTTCCGCCTGCCCTTGACTCTCATCTACTGGGTGGCTTTCATCACAGAGGTGAGCTACTTCTTTTTGGGTCGGCTGTACAACTTCCAGCCCTTCCTTACCCGTGCTGAAGTTTACAAAACTGGTGTCACACATTACTTTAGCCTGGAGAAAGCCAGGAGGGAGCTAGGTTATGAGGCTCAGTCATTTGATCTCCAAGAAGTAGTGGAGTGGTTTAAAGCCCATGGCCACGGCAGGAGCCCTAGCACTCACGACTTGGAGCCTCTTGTTTGCAGTGGACTGTGTTTCTTGCTCTTGGTTATAGTGGTCCTGGCGTGGCTGCCCTCTGTGACTCTGTTGCTATGAACAGTGTACTAAAAAAAAAAAGGAGATAGTTTTCCAAAAACAAGGGTTTCGTATCTGACTTCGTGGATTCTGTTGCTAAATTTCAGCTCTTCTCATTGCTACTTAAGAATAGATTCTTGGGCCCTCCCTGGTGCTGCAGCGGTTTGTTAAAGCACAGCACTGTGAAGCTAGCTGCAGCCATCTCAGCGCCAGTTCGATCCCTGGCCTGAGAGCTGACCCACATGGCGCGGCAGACCTCTCCTGTCTTACCTGCTGCTCCCCTCAGCAGTGTACTTTGTTGATCTGCCTGTTCTGTGCCCCAGTCTGTCTCTGGTGAATTCTCTCACTGCCTCTGCACCTCTGGCCTATACCCCTGTTCTGTATGCATAAATAAATAAATCTTAAAAAAATAGATTCTTGGACTAAATCTTCCTTATCTTCTTGCATTAGTCCTGATGAAAGAAAAAAAAAAAAGCAAAAGTAGGTTTAAAATATTTTAGAATGGTACAACACAAGTCATTGTGGAGCCACAGAGCTAAACTTAGTTCGGTTGGAAATGTCTTACTTAAATCTCCCAAAAGCCAAAAGAGACTTATTTCTGTTCTATACAATAACATTTCAGTTAGTGATGGACCACACATCCGGCAGCCCCAGCAGGTCACTCTGGGACCCTAGGTGTGGGGTGTGGTGTATCACCCACGTTATGTAACTATACTCTGTGGCACAGCAACACAGTTGCCTAACAACACATTTTTTCAGAACCCATGCCTGTCAGTCATTAAGTAATACTTGACTGTATTCTCTGCATCTCTTATATGGACTGAAACACACACTGACAAAAGATCAGCAGGCAAGACCCAACGGGCTTGAAAATGTATGAAAAACAAGTCAGACCAGCCCTCCACAGCCCTCCCCTCTCCTGGCTGTTGCAGGGGATGCCTTGGTTATCCACAGCCTAAATTTTAGGAATTCATTTTTGCCCTACGTGATAGAAGGACTGCCAGCCTATGGGACCACATGGAAATGTTGGGTGTTAAGCAAGCAAATTTTCATCTTGCTCTTGAATTGCTCAAATGTCTTTGTTGTGTGCCCTCAGTGTTTATAGAATTTTAGTCTCTGAGGAGAGAGTAGTTCAGGAAACAGCCAAAAATCAAATAAGGAAGATGAACTCGTGATGCTATTTGTAATTAAAAAATGAAGAATAACTCTAAACTAATAGATCGACTTCCTACTGGGAAAAATGTTGGTGCTCTGAAGGCGAATTCCAGGGAGGAATGTTTTAAACAACAGTGCCATTGTCAAGCCACACCAGGGACCACTGTGGAAGACATTGATGAGTACTGTTGCATAGAAAGCAAGAGGAAGAGACTCTGCCCACGCCATGGTGCCAGCTGCAAGAAGGGATACTATTAAATGCTAGCAGGAGCACAGGTTGCTGTGCAAATTCACACAAGCATCATTCTGAGAGTATTTGTAGAGGATGTTAGATGCATTTTCCCTGCAAGTTCAGAGAAAAGTATTCAACTTGATATCAGAGGACCTGCCACCAGGAACATTTTATGCAGCCTTACCCAAGTCGCTGAAGTTTTTCCAGGCTTCAATTTCCTCTTTTGGCATGCGAGTGACTACTTGTCTTTTCTATAAACCTATACACCCACCTCTCAGAGTTTGTTGGGACCCTAAAATAAGATACAATAACATATCTGGGGAGGTGTGAGCCTGAACCCCTGAAACATCAGTGTTGTAAACCCACATTGTCTCAATTAAAAATATGACATTAAAATGTAAAGAGGTTGAAGGACTTGATGGAATTCTGCTAAGTGAAATACAAGACAGACAAATACCATATGATTTTACTCTTATGTGGAAGATAAACAAATAAAAACAACCCCTTAGACTGTGACAACAGAATCATGGCAACCAGAGAAGGAGATTGGAAAGGGGTATATGATAGTATATATAATAGTCAAGGCATGAAGCTGAAACTTACACAGTGTGGTAAATGTCATCTCAATAAAATTTAAAGAAAAAATAAAAATGCTAATAGTGATAAGGATTGTTTTCGTGAGATATTTTTGTGGCCCTTTATATCACAAGATGCTTTTGCTTTAGGGGTTAATTTTGCTTTAGGAGTTAATTCACACAAACACCTGCAGAGTCAGGACAAGATGTGGGCACCCCAGGAGGTGACCGACTGCAGATGAGTACAGTAAACCCTATATCCATTGTTGAAGGGGAACGCAGCCTTTCCAAACATGTTTTTTTTTAAAGATTTATTTATTTGTGCATACAGAACTGGGGTACAGGCCAGAGGCTCAGGGGTGGCGAGAGGCTTCACCAGAGACAGAGTGGGGAGCAGAACAGGCAGATGGACGAAGTACACTGCTGAGGGGAGCAGCAGGCGGGTCAAGAGAGGTCTGCCAGCCATGTGGTCACCTCCAGGGCAGGTGGGAATCGAACTCATGCGGAAGTGGCTTTAGCTTCTCAGTGCTGTGCTTTAACCCACTGCACCACCAGGGAGGGCCCCTCCAAACATGTTCTTAATGAAGTCCCTGGGAAATAATGATAGATGCTTGTCAGTTTTTTCAAACCAGATACACCTAACACGATGAACATACTGAAGCCAGTATTGCTCTGTCTTAGAATTAATCAGTTTACTAGCAATTGTTGAATGGTGTCTCCTCTCCTCCTTGTGTGCTTTCCACAGCCCCAGGGGTTCACAAAGCCTTACAGATGGGTGGAAGCATCCTGCAGCACCCTAAAACCAGCCCCAGGAACCAGGCACCAAGGGTCCCTGCGGGTTGGCGTTGGCCCCTGCATCAACAAGTTAGTCCCCATTTGCTGGCATCCTTTGCATTATAGAATGAGTCCAGGCCCCTTCTGGATGAGAGAAACCTGGTCCCACTCAATCCGAAGGCGGAGCTCCACGTGCAAGCCCTGGCCAATCGGAGACTGCGTCCTTCTGCCAAGGTGGGCCAATTACAAGATGGTCGGTCCTCTGCTAATTTTTTCATCCTTGACTGGATAGTTGGGGGACAGGTCTTTCTGCCCTGGGTGCTTCACCAGGAGGACCAGCATGTGGGGCTGCCGCAGACTCTCCCACTGAAGCAGAGACTAGCGCTGATACTACTGTTTGGGCTCCTGGCTCCAGCAGAGAACACTGAAAGGCCCCGTTATCTCGCCCAAAATGTTTGTTGAAGTAGTGTTTGCATTTATCGGGTGGTTTTATCTGACCTTACAGTACCGGTATCTGGGTCATAGATCCTGTAGACCTGGGACTCCCAGCAGAGCTGAGAGTTATTTACAGCAGAGCTGAGAGATGGAGAAAGAAAGGCCTGGCGGACATCATCGGGACTCTACTATCCAGCCTCGGCCAACTCCACCCTGTGAGTCTCAGTATATTTTCTTTTGTGCTTTAAAGTCCTTAGAGTTGGATTTTTCACCATTAATTGGAAGTTGGTAAGCACACCCTGCGGTTTAATGCACGCCCTGCCCGCACCTGTGTGCCCTGGGCATTACAAAGTGGAAGCTCCTTCAACCCTCCGGGGGCTGCACATTTGCTGGAGTTTTCCAAATCTGGTTAATTTTCTTTCGTAAAATCATGTAGACATGGGCCAGAGCGGTCTGTAAACACTCGCCTGCAACTCTTGTTCAATAAGAAAATGACTAGATAAAGTGATTCCCTGAGTCTGGCGTCTGATGAAGACAGGGACCATGCCATTGTCCATATGCAGAGAACACTGAACGGCCCCGTTATCTCGCCCAAAATGTTTGTTGAAGTAGTGTTTGCATTTATCGGGTGGTTTTATCTGACACTACAGTACTGGTATCTGGGTCATAGATCCTGTAGACCTGGGACTCCCAGCAGAGCTGAGAAGAACACTATGAATGCAGCCTCCCATGTTTGTTACGGGGCTACTAACTAGGCTCATCCTGCTGTGGATTGACTTCTGGACTTCGTTTGGTGCTCCCAGCACAAGAACTCACCATTAGGAGGTATGTGAAATAACCTGACTGTTATAGTCATTTCAGTACATCTATCAAATCATCACGTCATGTACCTTTCATATATTGATTTTATTAAAGAGAAAATACAGGCTTCAGATGAAGGACATTTATGCACACTGCATAGTGGGGAACTCAGGGGTCTGAACTTTGGTAGAATAAGTAACCTGAGGAAGGGAAAGATCAGATTTTTATGTTGTTACTCCAAAAAAAAAAAAGAAGAAGAAGAAGAAGAAAAGAAAAGAAACACATACAGATTCCAACTGCTCTAGTGGTTCCCATTTGGAGCGTCCTAGGCTCTTGACTCCAGGTGTTTATCTGCCAAGATACTAACAGGCTTCAGAATGCCCCTGGAAAGACTTCGCTGTCACAGGTGCATCGCATCCCTCCCTGAATGTGTGGTGGGGGAGGCAGTGCTCATGAAAGGACATTAGACTCAGGTGCTGTCTGCAGCCCCAGCTATTGTTTGTTGACTGACTCAGTGATAGCATATACTAGTGCTGACTTCACAAACCACCCAGAATCCCCTTTCTTTGGCCAAAGTGCTGCTTTTATGAAGACCAACATTTGGGGCTACCACAGCCTCTCCCACTGAAGTAGAGACTAGTGCTAATACTACTGTTTGGGCTCTTGGTTCTAGCTGTTCCAGCCAGTTGGACCTGGCTACCTGAACTTTTAGTACAAAAATAGTTATTTGCATTGAAAATCAAACCAAAACGACAGTCAAACTGACCACATCTCTAAGCTGTGCATATTCACACAGTATAACCATTCTGTATTTTAGAACTCACACATACCAGGAAAGAAAGACACCTTTTTTAAGTTTAGTGGTTTTTTTTTTTTTTTTTCAATTAAGGTAACAGGTTTCTCCACTGTTGATGGAAATGTAAATTGGTCCACTTGGAAAACAGCATGGCAGTATCTCAAAAAATTAAACATTGAACTAGTGGTATGACCCAGCAATTCCAATTCTTAGCATTCTATCCAAAGATCATGAAAGCAGGAGTTTGAAAGGCTGCATGAACCCTATGTTTCAA